TTAATTCCCCGGCCAAGGTCACAATTTATTAAAGGGCGCTGAAAAGCGATATTGTTTCAAAAAAGATCTACGGAGTTTACTAAAAAATAATAAGAAATACGCAGCTTACCATTCTTTTCCAGGAGATTGAGTGACAGTTAGATGCAATAGTAAGCTGCGTATTTTTTCGTATTTTTTAGTAAACTTCGTACATCGTTTCTAAACAATATCGCTCTTTAGCGCCCTTTTTTTGATTATTTTGTTTTGTAACTTATGATTTTAAAGCAGTATTTTAAGCTAACACGATAAAATTTAAACAAGAGATGAAGTTCAATAGAGATAGTCCATGAGGGCCTTAAATTATTCAATTATTTAATTTAGTTAACAATTGAATTATAGAGTTGTAAGTCATTTCATTGTTTAATTATAATTTTTAAATGCTCTGTAAAAATGTATTGTTTTGTAAATCAAATTATTTTTCAGCAATTTTGTTGTTTTTAAATTGTTTTTTGCATTTTTCTACACTATTAATCAGAGTGAACAATTTCGAGTGAAAATTGTTTGAGCATCGTTTGAGCGAAGCCGCCAATAAATAATAAAATCGTGAATGAACATCCAATTGAAGTTTTTAGTGAATTCAATAGGTTTTTACATTGCAGTTTTCGTACGTCCAACCCTTTTTTCCAGTTAAAAAAAAGGTGTAAAACAAGAAATTTCAGGAAAAGCAGTATAAAATATAAAAAAGGAAAAGAAATTATTAATTGGCGAACGCGGTGAACTTATGCTTCAATACTTAATAATTTTTTCCCTGGACACTGAGCAACGAGCAACACAGGATTAACATGGGGGAAAATAATTTTCTAAACGTTTAAGTTCGTTACAAGTATGTGATGGGTCCTGGAATTTACAATGGTAAAAAAAAATGTATCTTTAGGATTGCGTCTGTTTGCGAACAGCGAATGATGTCATTGTATCCCAATCAATCGAGATGAAAAGGACTGCAATCAATGTATTCGCCGAAACACCGAATGATTTGATCTAATCAAACAAATAATACGTGGGCCTGGAATGAGTCGTTTTTTACTTATAACCTATCAACAGACAAAAATGTTTCTTTCAATCGACAGCTGTCATTCTGCACTTTTTTTCCTTGGTAGTGAGTGTGTTAAAACAAAGACGATCAACAAGTTGACTTACCA